ATATATGAGTGATATTGATATCACTCGTTTAGCATCTCCGGAGAAATGGGAAACAAAGAATAAAAAAAAAGAAGCTTATGGGAAAAGATTTGAATTTATTCGTAAACTCTAAAAACTCTTGCAAATATTAAGTTTGATCTTTATTTTTTTAAGAACCTTTTTATTCTTTGCGCGACTCAATCGAGAAAACTTCGATATCTTTTAATGTTCAAGATTATATTAGAAAACTATATTAGAAATTTGCAATGTGTGTAATTATATGCATCATGAGCGTATTGTAAATATTTTTATAAATATCTATTATCTTTTAGATAAAGAAAATTTAAATTTTTTATAATTCGGTCTTAATTCATATGTTAAATTTAAAATAATACAAGATAGCATTTAATGTTTCCAGCAAACATTATCTTTTAATTACAATAATTTTTGCGAAATAAGCAATGTTGGTTGATCGTATTTATAAAATTATCATGATTTAAGGAATATAAAATGCCGAAAATTTTTCTTTTCACAATATTAATTACTATATGCAATGTAGCAAAATTAGGGCAAATCGAACAGTTTAATCTCTCATAGGCGATAATATTCGTTAGTCGAACGCAATCTGTCATTTAATATCCAGCGACGAATCTATTATTCGGCAAGTATATAGCGTAATATCTATCTTCCTAGACTTATCACCTACTCTTCTCATATTTCGCTTCTCATATTACGTATGTGTTAACGTGTGACCAAGTAGAAAACTGTACACGATATATAAGTATACGACAATGCATTTTCTAATGAAAAATACTATTGTTATAATGAAATGTATATGAAAGTATAATTTGAAAAAGAGATAGACAATTAATAACAATTAATTAATAGACTTAATTCATGTTCATGAGAAACAAACTTTAGAAAATGAAGTTGATAGATGAAAAAATAGATAGAAAAATATAACTGTATTAATGTTCCAATTTTTTTTCATTTGTTCTCCAATATATATATATATACTTGTGAATTATTTTTATTTTCATTAAATTTATGAAAAGAGCTCAATAAAATAACGAATGATATGTATGTTTCAGTAAAAGAAAATTATAAAGTTGAAATCTGATGAAAGCAAATCCTCGAAAAGTCCTGAATTCGTTCAAAATGCTAAATAATGTTCACGCTCTTGAGGCTAAATTCGTAATAAAGCAAGTATTTGATAAAATATATGAGAAGATCACCAACCGAAAAAAAAACTTTCGGTTCCTCATATTTTACTTTATACTACTTTACATCTTCAGTGATGTAATGGCGCCCACGTGTCACGCATCGGTGAGCAACACGGGCAGCCGGCAATATAATGCGCTCTCGAGCTTATTTCAATGGGCCAATAATCGATCGATTTCGAAAATTAAACATAATGGATGTCGCGCGGGAGAAGAAAAAAGGAGACAGAAAGGGTTTGTGTCGTCTCTGTGGCCGTATTCGCGCCTTTCAACTTCCCTTTTAACATCCACCATCCCTGCGCGCCTTCTCCGCATAGTGGTTTTTTTTCCTACCTCTGATGTGTACGAGCGAGTGCACTTCAGCCTTATTTTTAACCCATCGCTTCTTCCTTTTATTTCGCCTGTTTTTCTCACCAAGGCCTGTGCCGTCCTTACCCTCTGCCCGCTGCAACCACAACACCATGCGTCGATTAACCCTTTTGCGCGATGGCCGACGATGTTACTGATACTACTGATACTCGACGAGATATGCTAATGAGAAGCATTTGAGATCGAAAAGTTAATCCTATACTCGTCAATGTATTTTATAAAATACACATCTGCTTTACGTTTTCTCTTGTTTTCAATTAAAGTATATTATTGCATTCTTTATGTTCTGTTTACATTATTTTCTGCTTTATAAAACTCGTATTCAATAAAATTATAATAAACTTTTTTGAGCGATTATAAAATTTTATTAATCCTTCATCATAATCGATCATCATATATAATCGAGCACAAGAAAAGAAGTATATGAGAGGTAGTATAAGGGAGGTAAAACAAGTTCCAAAATAACATACAATTTTGTACAGCTGACATTGTAATTAATTAATTTTGTGACCCCATGTAATGAGTTAGCAAAGTTCCGAAATTTGGAAAAGTTTTACTAAAGTTTTTGTTACTTAATTCTGCAAGCACGGGATAAGAGATTTTTGAAGAAAAAAGAAAGCAACAGGTTACGCAATTCGAATTGTGAGTGAAAAATTACTGTACGCAAGTTCCTGAAAAAAATATCGACGCGAGTTGACACCCTTTTTCCCGAGCGATTAACGATGATCACGTTCTTGTCGTAACTCGCCGTAATCCAACTGCAACCGCAACGCTCGTGCTTTAAATGTTTAACGAAGACGTTCGTGTACGTGCGCGCGAAATATTGTTTCCTTGGTCTCATGCGTTTTTAATTGCAGCCCGTTGTCATTTGTTTTCACCGCTTGTTTCCGCTTGTTTTAATATCCTCGGTTGACGCCGAACCGACATGTCGCAGAGTCAAAATTGCGAAGGTGTCTTATCGCTTGACGCTTATCAATCAAAGTGGCCTCTTTCCGACGTTAAGACGGCAACAAGAGAGGCCTTTCTATTTGTAACTTTCCTCAAAGGTTCTTTTAGAGGCAATCGATCTACGCCAGTGCACCTCCCTTCATATTTTTCACGACGATTTTTCCTCTGGTGTTACAGGAGAAGATAGAGTACGTTTTTCTTGTGATTTTTACGGTGGAGTGCGTGATGAAGATCATAGCTTATGGCTTCGTCGCGCATCCAGGAGCTTACCTCCGTAATGGCTGGAACTTGCTGGATTTCACGATAGTCGTGATCGGGTGAGTACATTAACCTTGAAAATTTACGTTTACTTCCCCTCTTGCTTATAAATACATCTAATCTTTCTTTGAGCGATTTTTACAGTACATTAATTGGATCTGTTAAAATTAAATTATTAGAATGAAATTATTAGAATGAAATTAAATATATAATTTCTTTCCTTCTTCACTGCTAAATTTTTGGAGGGAGATTAACTACTCTGTGTAGTCTCACACATACACACAAATTTCTCCACAGATTTATCTATATTTTAATTTTAATTTTCTACTGAATGATAAACATTACTTAAAAATAACGTCCTTGTGACACCACAATATCCAATAATATCTCCAATGTTATTTTATAATAAACTCATTTTTCTCCGAATTCGATGGCCAATGGGCAAGTGTCGACGAAGATAGCACCTAACAATCTATATCGATAGCAAATTAATTGGACCAATGCCGACGTTATCGATAATGCATGGTGATCTTATACTTTGATGATGGATAGTTTGCACCTAGTGATGTCTTTTCAACATACTATCAATAACGTTTGACGAACGTAAGATACAGCGACAAGTAGTGCAACTCGAGTTTTGGCATTCGCTCATCACAGATATATCGATGATCAAGGCACTTTCATGAAATCTAATATACACTTTTAATAGAATTACATACAATATATATTTTCAATAAAAATAAATAGAATTATATTTTATATAAATTTTCAATAGAAATAAACATAATTCTACACAGAATAATTGCATTTTACAAAACGTGAAGAATATCAGCAATATTTATTGTGCTTAAAATGCTTTTACCAATAGAGCTGAAATATTTATAGGAATTACAAGTATCATAAATAATAAAATGGTTTTGCACTTACTCTATTATATGTATTGATTACTAAACGCACTTAAACAAAATTATTTTTTATGAAGTTATTGCATTTTTATATTTTCGTATATATTAAAATATTAAAAAAAGTTGAAAAATATGAAACTCGCGATACAAACAAACACGAAAGCTGTACATCGTATTTATTTCGCGAGTGCGCACGAAAGCGTCTGAAGCTACAGAAATAAAATTGATTTAAGCTTTACGAACCAGTTGATCCAGCCGTGTATTTCGTGAAGCGTAAATAAAGTGAAATTGATGACGTGCCAAATGAGAGCGAAGACGGCGGCATCGAAAGGAAGAAAATATCATTTGAAAATCCCTTTCTCCATAGTGAGACGAAATGACTAACTTCATTGTGAAGTTATATATGGGAAATTAGTAAAATAATCCCACGCGCGTACGACCGATCGGTCGACATAATGTCACGGCTCATGTGTATAAATTAAATTCAGTTGGGTGTAACAGCGAATCGGAAATTGGAATTTTATGAATGCTGCTTAAGTTGATAATGTCCTAACAGGTCTGCCCTTTTTCATATGATGGAGAGCTGATAATTCTCATCGCAATTAATAATTTGCGGATTGATTCTTCGTGGGATTTACATTTGTAATTGAATATGAGTGATATTTATTAGAATTTTATGAAGTACGCATTGCTTTCTCAAAAATAATAACAGTAATTTCCAGGATTGATTACTTGTAACAAAGTTTTTAATTATAATTATAGTTACTTTTTCAATAATTGTAACTTTAGTTATATTTTTTATAATTAACAATATATAATTTAATTAAAGTAACTTTTACAGTTATTTTATATTATTTATTTATATTAGTTATTTTATATTATTCAACAATAACAAAATTAAAATTAAGTATTCGGTGAATATTTCTTGTGATTGAAATTCTTTAATTATTAATTATCTTTATCCTTACTAATCATCACACTGTATCTCTACAGTTTAAAAATTAAACTATAAATATAATCTTTTAATATGTGAAATCATATCTTAATATTGATCCAAAAATTTCCAAGTGTATATATTAATTTCTTATAAATAATTTCTTATAAATAATTTCTTATAAATAATACAGAATATAATCAAATGTTTAGTATAAATTATTAATGTTAAAAATATGTAAGATTCTTATATTTAAAGCAATGCAACAAATTATAAAAAATTAACAGAAATGAAATAACGATTCGTTACTTTTACAAAGCAATCTTATATACAATAATACTTTCCCAATCTTGAATAACGTGTTCTTTCGATGTTAAAAAAAGATATTTGATCCCATTTATTTCCCGATAACTTGCGAGTAAGAAACATGAAAAATCATTAAACGTAATTACAACATTCTTTGCGCAAATAGAGCAGTACTGTACAAGGTATTCAGTCTAGATACGCTTTTACTCAATTATTACTGTCGATACGTAATGTATACACACACACACACACATATATATATATATATATATATATGTATATAAAAAACGCAAATAATGATACCCTATTTACTTGCAACCATCAATTTTCATAGGATAAAGAGACGAGAGAACCTCGCAGATGCACGTGTGCGGGCGTAAAACACCGATGAATTCGACAAACAGAGCGTATCGACCAATCCTCCTGCTGTTTTCCCGATTAATGATCCGCAATGTGAATTTATTTCCGCAGCAAACGCACGGATTGTTCGCAAAATTGATCTCAGATACGGTGGATTCGAATTGACAGGCGTAACTACCTGTTTCGGAGGCGAACATTTCGCGTATATCCGACTTGCCGTCTGATAGCTTTATCGTTTTCAGTTAACGACACAGCGAATCGATTCGTCTTAATGTCCCATAGGAGAACGTGCAGCATATCTATTCTCTTTCCTTATCGAGTCGATCATTACACGAGGACCATTATTCAAATGACATAATGCTTAATGCAGCTGCTGCACTGGTAATATTTGAAATTGTCTCATCCGATACAATCGTTTCTTTTCAGTTGACTGTTCACCTTTGGCTCGTTTATGACAACGCCACGTCCGCGCGAAAATTGTAATTTAAAGGCGTGACAAGAAAGATTGCACGTGTCGAGAACAAAAAGACGCTAAAAAGCTATTTTCCCTTTTTCAATGAATCTCGTTTGTTGAGGAAAAATTTTCTTTTTCTCTTCTATCTTCCCTATTTTATGCCTCGTAAATGTTCTTGTAAATGCTGCCACACAGTGTTTATGGTGCTATTAGCCTTGGCACATAAAACTCCTTTCTTCAGGAACAAATTACGTTCCGGGAAAATGACTTTCGCAACCTTCATTATCAAGTCTTCATTTTATCGTCAAGTCATTAATCCTCTGTTACATAGAAAACATTTTTTGCATTCCTCTTTACAGAATGGTAAGCACGGTGTTGACGATACTTATGAAGGAGGGTTTCGACGTCAAGGCCTTAAGGGCGTTTCGTGTTTTACGTCCTCTTAGGCTGGTTTCCGGTGTTCCAAGTAAGATATTCATCAAAATATTAATGTGATTGAATTGTAATGTGATTGTAATTTTATTTTCAAACAATAAAGAGAGCTCTCTTTAATGTGTAGAGATCATACTAAAAATTAACAAAATACAAATTAGATACAAAGTTATAAATGAAATGTTAATAAAACCATTAGTTCTTTTGTTCAAAATCGGAGAGTGTTTCAGTTGTTTAGAGAATTAATAAGAATAATGCATAATTGATAAAAATAAATTTGTTTGCATAGGTCTTCAGGTAGTCCTAAACTCCATTTTAAGGGCGATGGTACCACTTTTGCACATTGCTTTGTTAGTTCTCTTCGTCATCATCATTTACGCCATCATCGGCCTCGAGCTATTCTCCGGGAAAATGCACAAAACATGCCGGCACAACATAACCGGTAAGTGCGTGCCTCAGAATTTTTTCAATATACATAAGTTTAATGAATGAAATAATAACGTTTCTCATGATGGCAATCGCGGATCGACGCTCTTTATTTTTATTATACTCTGAATTCTTCCGAAACTTAGAGCTTTAAAGAAATATAATTTTGTATTTTTCTAATGTTATTTTACATTAATTAATTTATTTAATATATCATTAGAAATTAATTATGATTCTGTTAAATTCTCCATGAAATTTAAGCTAAAATTTTTTCCTGAAATTAATGTTGTATCTTTTGCAAGATTTTATATAATCGGGTGGAAATAAATACATGTTTTGTACATATTTCAGTTCGTATACAGTATGACTTTGTAAGGAAAAAATTTTGATGATTTTTTTCTAACAAAAAATAGAGTGCTTGTTTACGAATGAATTCTTAAATCATAATATTTAAATTACATCGAGGCTTTTTCATGCGAAAGAAATTGATATAACGTTTTGATATATAATAGAAAAAATTTACCTATATTTATTCCGCATCTGGCATTAAAAAGTTATAAAAAATTAATGAGATGTAATGCGGGATTCGTTAAATTATTACGCATTTCGTTTCTAAGAATTGCCTCTTGATGATTAGAATAAAAAAAATTGGAAAAAGGGAATTGGAAGGGAATCTGACGAGGGGAACTTCCGGCTAAACCCCGAAATACACTTTACGCTGGGACGACTATTTTAGATGTGATTCAACTGAGACGAGACGTAAAACTAACGTCTAATTATTACTGAACAGGGAGAACAGACTCTTGCATATAAAACATAAAGCATAAGAAAATCAATTAAGAGTCCTTTATTTTATGGAAAGGAAGGAAATAAAGGACTTTGATTGATTTATTTTCTTATGCATTATGTGTTATGTGTTATGCAGAGTATGTGCTCTACTCTCTACTCTTAGCGTGAAAGACGCGCGTGTGACTTACTCTTGCGCGATGAACAGTTGATTCACAGGAATATGTAAAATAGCATATGAATGTTGCCAGACTCGGGCAATACAAAAACTTCGAGAGAGAGAGAGAGAGAGAGAGAGAGAGAGAGAGAGAGAGAGAGAGAGAGAGTGCGCGCGCGCGTATGTGAGACGAGAAAGAAAAGAATTTACTTCGCACAATGCCTTTTCTTTCTTGCTCTAAAAATCTCTAGTTTTTATGTCCATATACAGAAACTTTTCAATTTTATTTCTAACAACTAAGAATAATTGTATTTTATCCATATATATATATAGAATTAATTTGTATTAATTAATTAATAGTTTTTCGTATTTATGTTATGTTTTATCATTTTTATACATATTACAGAGAATTATAGATAGAATTATAGATACATATTACAGAGAAGTCAACGTTCATTTTAACAATCAATTAAAATAATTACTTCAACTAATTAAAATTAATTAATCGGTACTTTAATTGCATTTTCGATATATTTCTCTATCCTATACTTATGTGCTATTAATAAAGAAGCCAATTAGTTAGTAATTATATCCATTATTTTAATTTGATAAGAGATACAGATATGATTTTTTTTTGCTATGCTGGCGGTGTTAACCTAATGTAATTTAAAGTTTAACAAAGCAACGAGTAATAGAACTCCTTTAATCGATCTATGTACATATCGGAGAAGCGTGAAACAGAAAGGGCTACATCGTCTTCGCGTTAGTGGAGAAAAGTACTAGTCTCAAGTCGTTTGCATAAGGTATATGTAGAAAAATGTGCAAATATTTTAACATGTTATTATGATACATTAAACTTGCTCGTTTGCTCGAGTCAATTAGAAGTTTTAGCGCAGAGAGAGTGCTGACCTTATTATGCTCCGCGACCGCCGTTATCCTATTAGGATTAAAAATTTGATTCATCTTTATCGCAGACGAGATAATGGAGAATCCGATACCATGCGGCTCCGGAGGCTTCCAGTGCAGTCAGTCCTACTACTGCAGCAAACAATTTTGGGAGGGCCCTAATTACGGCATCACAAATTTTGACAATTTTGGACTGTCCATGCTCACGGTCTTCCAATGCATTACCCTCGAAGGCTGGACGGACGTGCTTTACAATGTAAAATCATTGCATGTGTAATAACCATGTTTTTGTTGTATTTGGTAGAATAATTCATATAATAGTCTTACCTAATCAAGTACTAATACGAGAAAAACCTTAGATCTTTTACCCTTTATTATGGCTTTCTGTATTAATTCGTGTTATTATATATTGGATCAGTGTAAAAGTTTGTATCAATTTATTATTCAAACTTCAAACAGCTGCTATTTTGTTAAAAATAAAATAAATCTTACTCTATCTGAGAGAATTAAAAAATCAATTTTTTTAAATTGTGATGGTTTTTGATAGAGTTATGAGCAATCAAAATTGGCAAAATATTCATTTCATTTAATTTGCAACTCAGGAATAAAAAATCGTAGAAACATTTAAAAAAAATGATTTTATAGAAAAAGTTTCAAGCTTTTTCACTATAGTCGAAAATTTGCTCAAATTTTTTTGGGCACGCTACAGATTTACAAAGAAAAATTTTAATTTTGAGTTCGTAGTTTTCTATATATAAAAATTACAAAACTCACATAAATTAAAAAAATATAGTAACCATTCGAAAGTAGAGATTTCAAGCTTTGAAATTCTTTTTTTAAATTTAAATTTCGTTTATTTTTAACAACATTGCAGCTGTTTGAATAATAAATCGGGCACAAATTTTTGCATTGATCCCATTAAAGACTCTATACTAGCTATATATTTTTTTGTAAAAGTTTTAGACATCGTTGATTTTAAATAATAAAAAAAAATCACAAGCAGAATCCTTCGAGAAACTAATTCTCTTCATAATTTTGATTTATATGATAGATCGAGGATGCGATGGGAAATTCGTGGCAATGGATATACTTCATTTCAATGGTCATCCTAGGGGCTTTCTTCGTGATGAATCTAATTCTCGGTGTGTTGTCCGGGTAAGTTGTTGAGAAAAATTTTGTCCTACAGACAGAATTCGTTATAAAAAGAATATCTACGTCCAAAGATTACAGTTTTTATATTTGTTTAATTTAATTTTACGAAATATTGAAAATAATAAATTTTAAATATCATGTACAGATATATAAATGCGATATTTATTGATATATAATAGTATATAGAATAATTTTTAATTTCCGCGATGCTTAAATTTATTTTATTAGTTTTATTTTATTATTAGTTACAAAATACAACAGGTAATAAGCTTTGAACATAAGATATTAAGCCAATAAGCCAATTACGAATCAAATGTCAGAAAAATCATCTATTGGTTGATTTCTTAAGACTTAAGGCTACACCTATTATGTTTCGGGATATTGAAGATTGCTTTAATCTGCCGAAGCAGCTTTTAACATCTATCTTTGCGAAGTTTTGCAATCCTTGATGAGGGAGAAAGGGAGATCAAGATAAAAATATCCCTTTCTTAGGTTGATACCACACATACACACGCACACACTCCATTGCGTATCGGTAAAGGATTCGCGGTTAATCGAGGTGTGAAAACGATATCGATGACAAGCGCGATTTAACTTCCTTCCCTTTTTACGTTTTATCCTTAACATCACACGCGCAAACACTCTCGTTATCGGAAACGTCGCAAAATGCAAGTTTGAAATATGTTTCAAAGATTGCTCGAAAATAAGTCAAAATATCGATGAAATGTTAGAAATATATGTTTCTTAATGTTTCGAGATTCAATAAAAAGAATAAACAGTGCCGATTAATTATGCAAATAATAAAATTTCCTTTAGCTTAACAGAATATGAAATTTTATGTATTAAAATTTATACCGAAAAATATTAAACTTTTTATGGAGACGCGCGTTCGTCAAGAAGCGTTATTCTTAGAATAATTAGATCTGTAGTAACATGGATCGATTCTGTTTTACTTGTATAAAAAAAGAAAGACGTGAACATCGGAAGACAGCATTTTTGCTAGATGTTTTCCGATACGAAAGCCGTATTTACATCATACTTGTCCTTGTTCGAATGAGATCGAAGAAACGCAGACAAATAAAGAAAATTCCTTTTCACGCGCATCTCGATTTCCGTTTCATTGCCTTTGAATGTTCCAATTACATGTCTCTCACATCGTATCTCTAGTTATGACGCGACATGACCGTATATACACTTGTCCTGCTTTCGTACAGTGAATTTTCTAAGGAGAGAGAGAAAGCAAAGGCGCGCGGCGACTTCCACAAGCTCAGGGAAAAACAGCAGATCGAGGACGATCTTAGGGGTTACCTCGACTGGATAACGCAAGCCGAGGATATCGAGCCAGAAACCGATGAACCAAAAATGTTACAAGATGGAAAAAGTACGTATTTATGTACAAAGGGAGAGAGAGAATTTTCTAAAAAAAATCAAAGTGTACACTGAAAATAGAATTCTAAGTAATAATTATCAAAGTAATGAAATTTCAATCAAATGTTCGGTTACTATAACTAAAAATAATTTGATTTTATACGCTATTAT